AAAGGTGGCGCTCTTCTTTAGCTTGGGATAAAAATAAAAACGTAAAGAAGGTCACACCTGAGCCGGCCAGGTCGTAATGGTCATTGAAGATAACAGAGAAGCTAGTGATGAAGAGGCTTCCCTTCAACTAAGACAACGATATTCATCAGCTCAACCGGGAGAGCTTTTAGAACTAACTGATGAAGAGACCCAAGCACTATGGGGTAAGATGGATCTAGTAGATAATGCCAACTTCCACTATCCTGTCCGCGATACTGGTCCTGGTCCAAGGAGTTTCGAACCCGGTCCTCTTCTGCCTTCGGTTAATGAGCAATCGATAATCAACACTACTTCTGTTGCAGCTGCTTCTTAACCTACAACACCAAAAACTTCACGCTCCTCTACACCAGCTGCTCATACGCCACCGTTGTATCTTCTTCGCGGGCCATAGATTCCCGAGAGGACGGTGCTTCTCCTCCCAGTTTCCTGACCATGGGAATTTGGGGCATAATTACTCACCCCCTTCTCCAGATCTCCGAGGAAGAGAGTGTGTCACTCTCTCAGTTTCAAAGGGGTGCCATCTGTTGTCCAGGCCGGTGGAGTTTGCCAACTACCTAGCCACTGGCTTCAAAGAAAAATAAGAAGAAGATACACTCCCTTCTGGGAGTGCATGTTGAACAACGCCATGCACAATGCGGCAGCGGTACCGTGCTTATTCTCTTGCTGTTTGTTCTTTGTCATAACAGATTTTTTGACTTTGATATACATTTTATAGGCCAACTTCCTTGCATCTGAGGGCCTTCAAAGATTGATCCTTGATAAAGAAGGACTTATGTCCGAGCGGGATCAGCCATTAGCCGAAAAGAATCAACTTATTACGTGCCTCCCGGTGGTAGAGGCAAAGGCTGCTGAAGCGCCTGAGCTTGAGGCCCGATTGCAGCAGAGTGAGCAGAAAGTGATGGCCCACAACCAAGAAGACACTCAACTACATGCACAACTTCAAGAGGCTAAGGCTAGGTGGGATGAGTTTCAAGATGCTGCTCTTGCTGCTACCGAGCCCGAGTCTACCTCTGTTGAGTGAGTAAATAATTTGGAGATAGCCTTCAATTCGAAAATCGAAGAGGCTGCTGTCGCCGAGGAGAAGCAGACCTGGATGGAAAAGAGCTTTAAGAAGATCGTGGAGCAAAAACAGGTTCACATATCTACAATCTGTGATCTTAATCTTAGCCTTGGCGCCACAAGATTCGAGCGGGATGGTCTCCGAGCCGAGGTCGACAAGCTTAAGTCAAAACTCTAGTTTCAAGAAGATTCCCTTGTATTATGGTATTATTATATAAAAAAAGGTCAATATAATACCATAATCAATCAATTAAAGTAAGAATCAAAATTCGAGTTGCTAAGTTAAGGAAATATTATAGATTAGAAAGGAATTTGATTAGAAAATATGTAAATTTAGGGCCCGTTTGGACATATATTTTTTTAATTTTTAAGGAATTTTTTTTCGAAATCAGTGTTTAGTCATGAAATTGTTAAATTTCACTTAAAGTTGAAATTCGAAAAAACTTCAAAAAATTATTTTTCAAAATTTCCGCTTTAAAACACTCACAACAATTTAAAAACAACTCCAAAATGTATTTAAGTCCAAACACAACTAGAATTTTCCCATATTATTTCAATTGAAAAGAAATTTTACCTTTTTCCGTAATTTCACAAGTCTTATGTCCAAACACCCACTTGGTAAACTAGATGGTACTCCCGGTTCACAATAAATTTGTGAATCTTTCCCAACCACTCTATATGAAAATCAACTTTCTTAAATCTAAACCAAGAAAATGTGGGTGGGCGCAGGTGGCTATGTGAGTTGTCATGGGCGGATTTTCAGCCATGCCCCATGACCCCTTGGGCGCTCTCCGTGGCATCCTATCAAGCCTCCCAATGCCTAGCGGTACGGACGCCCCGTGGTCTTGGCTGCACCATGTGACTCTGTCGCCCTACCGATATCCCTTGCCAGCGCCCAGTCATAGGCAGATGCCAATAGTGCCGCACACATAGACAACGCCGCACACGTAGTCCGTGATGCCAAAGACAAGGTTGCTAACAACGGACCTGTTTCTACTTTGTAGAAACTAAGTCCTTTTCATTGTAAATATAGAGTAGTTTTATTTAATGTACTTCCATTATGTTTCTCTAGCTTAGTTAGGTCTAGTCTTGTAACTTTGGTTTATATTATTTAAGCACTAATAGAGGGATCAAGCAATTAAACTTTCTAGCAAGCAAACAATTCTCTGTACTAGTGTCTCTCCCCCTCGACACCGCGTTGCTTTTCTGTAATAGCTTTCATTAATGCAATCAAGCTTTCTTTCATTCTCAATTCTCATTTCTATTCTCTCAATTGCTCTTGATATTGGTTTTCCCGTACAACATTAACAATCTCATTTAGCATACGGAGGGGACCTCGGTTGGCGGATAGTAACTGCACTGACATCAGTTGCTTAGCCTTATGTCGCCCTTCCAAGAACTCTTAGGAAGGCGCCACGTAACAGTTGGTATCAGGGCCTAGGCTCGACATTGGACGAGGGAACATATTGCCATTACCACCATTTCTGACCATGGTGAATCATGGGGACCACATTACAGACCTCGAAGAGACGGTTGACGTATTAAGACCCATCGTGGATACGGTGCCTGAAATAAGAACCAGCCTAGTGCAAAGGTTGGAAGACCTGGACAGCAGAATGCTTCAGGCCAAAGTTGACATAGAAAACATCACTCGCGACTTTGAGGGAGACCGGCAAATGGCAGCCACAGAGGCAGCCAAAGTTTTTGGCAAATTTGAGGGCCTCCAACAGGAACGTGCCGAGGATTTAGCCTACTGGGCACAAAAGGCAGACATGGTGATTGCCATGTAATAAACTATAGACAACTTGACAGGCTAGCTCAATATTATCAACGCTGCTTTACAAGGCCTGCTTCGAAGAGGCAGAAACCAAATTATAGGTACTATGAACCTCGCCCCCGCGACACAAAAACTAAAAATTCCTAAGCCAAAGCCATACAGTGGAGCTCGGAATACCAAAAAAGTGGAAAAATTTATCTTCGACATCAAACAGTACTTCGATGCCGTGGAGGGCCTGGAAGAAGCTAAGAAGGTAGCAATTACTGCCATGTATCTTCAGGGTGATGCTAAACTCTGGTGGCGGGTGAAATACGAAACCATCAAGGCCGGTGAAGATGCTCTCGAGACATGGGTAGAATTGAAGGCAGTCATACACCTACAGTTCTTCCCCAAAAATGTTGAATACAATGCAAGGAGAAAGTTACGGGAGCTCCGTCAGACCAAATCAATATGAGACTACATACAGGAATTCTCTGCACTCATGCTAAACATACACGACCATGGGGGACAAAGACAAACTCTTCACCTTCTTATAAGGGTTGAAACCTTATGCCCGTATGGAGTTGCAAAGACAAAGGGTAGATACCCTACCCAAGGTGATCCAAGCAGCTGAATGCCTTAGGGACTATCAAGTGGAATCTCTATAGGCCTCAACCACCTTCCCGAGCGAGATACAAAGGAGGCCATCCTAGCAATAATGGCCCTAGCAGAAGCGGGGGAGATCGGAGTGCAACAAAATCTAAGGCTCCCTCCTCAGGCAACAGTAATGCTGCGTCAAACAACAATGATCGAGGGAGAAAAACCCCTTCAGGATGCCGTCATTGCGGTGGACCACATTGGAATAATGAATGTCCACATGCACAGATGAACTCCTATCAAGCTTTTGATGATAAGACGGATGGCGACACAGATGATACGGACCAGACCGAACCAGTAGGTGCCTTCAATGCAATTATTGGCTCTATTTCTGAGGCCTTTGCGGGAACCAGTGCTGGTATCCGTAAGAAGAAAGACCCATGTCCAAGCACCAAGAAAGGGGAAAGAAGGTGGATGAGAAGACTCCTCCTAAACAAGAGAGGACCTTAATGTTCGTCAAGATAAAGGTAAATGGCAAGCCCATTCGGGCAATGATAGACATGGGTGTTACCCACAATTACTTAGCCTCGACTCAGGTGGAGCGCCTTGGTGTATTTGTAGGAAAGGGAAAAGGTAGTGTCAAGGCTATCAACTCACCTCTTCAGCCAGTGGGTGGGATAGCCAAAGAGGTACCAGTGAAGCTTGGCCCTTACGAAGGAAAATTCAACCTGCGCGTGGTAATCATAGAAGACTTCGAGTTGATAGTTGGATTGGAATTTCTGAGGCAATCCAACACCATGCCCGTACCATATGCTAATATGTTACTGATGATGGGAGCAAACGGGGCCAAGCCCTGCATTATCTCGTGCATGCCTATGAAGATGACCGCTGAGAACAACTCGGCCATGCAGTTGAAGAAGGGGGTCAAAAGACATGAACCTACGTTCCTGGCAACCCTCTTCATTGAAGATATAGAACGCTCCTCGGGTCCCATTCCTACACCCGTGAAGGAGCTGCTACTGAAGTTTGAAGATGTCATGCCACAAGAAATGCCATAGCAACTCCCGCCTAGGCACTCTATGGACCATGAGATTGAGTTGGTGCCAGTCATAAAGCCACCCGCCCGGGCACCTTACAGAATGTCATAACCCGAACTCACCGAGCTTCTAAGACAATTGACGGAAATGCTAGACACGGGGATTATTGTGCCCTCCAAGTCCCCATACGGGTCCCCTATGCTATTCCAAAAGAAACATTATGGCAGCCTGCGACTCTATATGGATTATCGGGCTCTAAAAAAAATCATTGTGAAGAACAAGTACCCTATTCCGCTAATGGAAGACTTGTTCGATAGACTGGGTGGTGCGACGGTGTTCACCAAGATAGACCTGAAGACAGGTTATTGGCAAGTTCGGATTGCAGAGGGTGATGAACATAAGACAACTTGTATGACAAGATACAGATCGTATGATTTCCTGGTTATGCTGTTCGGCTTAACTAACGCCCCAGTCACATTTTGCACCTTGATGAACCAATCTTCTGACAGTACATGGATGAATTCGTGGTAGTCTACTTGGATGACATTGTGGTTTGTGGCCAAACACTGGAAGAACACCTGGAGCACTTGCGAAAGGTCCTAGTCCGATTGCGGGAGCACGAACTATATACAAAGCTATCCAAGTGCTTCTTTACTCAAAAGCGAATTGACTTCCTCGGACATGTCATCAAGGAAGGGAAGATCAAGATGGACCAACAGAAGATTCAAGTTATCACAGATTGGATGCCGCCTAAGGATATCCACGTCTTGAGGGCGTTCCTTGGCGTATGCAACTTCTATCGGCAATTTATGAAAAACTACTCCCTTATCGCAGTGTTATTGACAAAACTCCTCAAGAAGGTCACGACCTGGGATTGGGGACCTAAGCGAGCGGAGGCCTTCAATGCATTAAAAACGGCTATGTCTAGTTGCCCCGTCTTGGCCCTCCCTAATTTGGCCAAGCCATTCGAGGTACAAATGGATGCATCCGACTATGCCCTTGCCGAAGTCTTACTACAAGAAGGGCATCTTGTAGCGTACGAGATTCGGAAGCTGAAGTATACAGAGCGATGCTATATCGCCCATGAGAAAGAATTATTGGTTGTCGTCCATTGCCTACGCCTTTGGAGGCACTATCTGCTAGGGCCCCGTTCATGGTCAAGACAGACAATATAGCTGTTAGCCATTTCATGACCCAACCAAAGCTGAATGGTCGACAGGCCAGGTAGCAGGAACTCCTAGTTGAATTCCACTTCAACCTAGAGTACCGAAGTGGGAAGACCAATCATGTTGCTTTTGCAATCAGTCGGAGAGCTGATCTAGCATCGGTGTGCCTACTTGCCACCCTAAGGGGGAGCGAAGTAGCTATTACTATCAAAGACTAGATACATGATCTACTCATCAAGGATCCTGCTGCACAGTATTTGGTTGATCTGGTAGGACAGGGCAAGACTCGCCAATTCTACATAAAAGATGGTTTCCTGAAAGTGAAAGGGAACTGAATATGTTCCTAAAGGAGGAGACCTGCGAAGGACTCTTTTGGAGGAATGTCACGATACTTTGTAGGCCAGCCATCCCAGTGAAAACGCACCATGACATTACTTTGTCGTGCATATTGGCCTCAAATGGCCGATGATGTCGCTCAGTATGTGAAGACTTTTCTAGTATGTCAGAAAGACAGGTCAGATCGCTTGACACAAACGGGACTCTTGGAACCACTAGCTATCCCAAAGAGAACTTGGGAAAGTGTTTTTTAGATTTCATCACTAGATAGCCCAAGGTCGTAGATCTCACAACTATCTTGGTTGTAGCGGATCGGTTTTCCAAGTATGCTACCTTTATAGCAGCCCCACAATAGATCTCAACAGAGGATACAACTCGACTCTTCTTTCTCTCATGTCGTTAAATATTGGGGCCTGCCTAAAGACATCATTAGTGATCTCAACTCACACTTCACTAGCAACTTTTGAACCCACTCTTCAAGTTTTCATCCGCAATATGATGGCCAGACGGAGCGGTTCAATGGCATGCTGGAGGAATATCTCCACTACTTTGTGACCGGATCGCAGAAGAATTGTGTGAAGCTTCTGGATGCTGCTCAACTGTGTTTCATCACAAAAGAGCTCTAGTACAAATAAAAATGCTTTTAAAATTGTTACCGGACAGCAACCGGTACTCCCACACACTGTGAATGCACCAAACATGTCAAAATCTCCTCGAGCTGCTAGCTTCTCTAAAGAATGGAAGCAAAATTTGGACATAGTACAGAGCTATCTTGTCAAAGACCAAAAGTGGATGAAGAGGCATGCTGATCAAAATCATCGCTTTGTTGAATACCAAGTAGGAGACAAAGTGATGATCAAAATTCCAAAGCGGTACTTGTTTGCAGGGTCCATGACCCTCGCCTACTACAAAAATATATTGGACCTTTATCCATTGAAAGGTGCATTGGGAAAGTTGCATACCGGGTGGATACTCTAGCTTGGTGGAAAATCCATCATGTCTTCTATGTCAGTCTTCTGCAACCTTTTTGAGAAGACATAGAGGATCCTTCACGGAGCCAAATCACAATACCAAGTATTTGAGGCCCCAATTCAACTCGGAAAAGGCGTGATGAAGCTATTCTTGATGATCGAGTAATTCATGCCTCAAGGAAAGATCACCAAGAGTTCTTGGTGAAATGACAGGGTTGTGATGCAGAGGAGAATATTTGGGAGAGGGGAACAAACCTCAAAGCCTACAAGAGACTGATTGAGGATTATCTTGCAAGTAAGGCGCCGAGGACATCGCCAACTCAGGTGGTGGAGAATGTCATGAGCGGCTTTCTAACCATGCCCCATGACCTCTTGGGCGCATCCCGTGGCGTCCTAGAAAGCCTCCCAACGCCTAGCGCCACGGACGTCCCCGTGGTCTTGGTTGTGCCAAGTGACAAGCACACATGTGCCTCTATCGCCCCACCGATATCCCTCGCTAGCGGTCAGCCGCAGGCAGATGCCAACAATGCCGCATGCACAGACAACGCCGCGTGTGCAGACCGTGATGCCAAAGACAAGGTTGCTGACAACGGACCTGTTTCAACCTTGTAAAAAAATAAGTCCTTTTCATTGTAAATATAGAGTACTTTTATTTCATGTACTTCCATTATGTTTCTCTAGCTTAGTTAGGTCTAGTCTTGTAACTTTGATTTATTTTTTTAAGCACTATTAGGGGGGATCAAGCAATCAATCTTCTAGCAAGCAAACAATTCTCTGTACCAGTGTCTCTCCCCTTCAACACCGTGTTGCTTTTTTATAATAACTTTCATTAATGCAATCAAGCTTTCTTTCATTCTCAATTCTTATTTTTGTTCTCTCAATTACTCTTGATATTGGTTTTTCCGTACGACACTGACAATCTCATCTAGCGTACGGAGGGAACCTCAGTTGGCAGATAGTAACTGCACTGACATTAGTTGCTTAGCCTTACGTCTCCCTTCGAAGGACTCTCAGGGAGGCGCCGAGTAACAGAGTACATGAACAAATGGAGCCTGCAACCGTCAATATGGCACATTATGTCCTGTCTCTACCTCATAAATGACCGATTCAGATTTTTAAAATTTACGTAGGAATATGAAAATTCAAACTTAATACGGTAAACCATAATAATTGAGCTCAAATAAATATTTTTAAATAGTTAGTAAATAATATATATATATATATATA